ATAGATGAGAGGTATGGGAAAGGTTGAAAGGTAATAGGATAAAGGGAGGCTTTCGCCATGCAGAGAGCTGGCAAAACAACATTTTGGATCTCGACTGACACATAATCAGAACTGGAAGTACATTGGAAATCAGCCCAACATCTGGTTAGCTTTTGAAATAGTTGGTCTATAGTTTTCCAAAGCTGGCAGTGCTTGCGTGACTATAGCAAAGGAGACTTTGCGTGGTCAAAAGAAAAAAAAAAATATTTTGACCATTATTTTACCTAGCATTATTGTGGTTTCTTTATCCAGGTTTGATTGTTTACTTCTTTTTCTGTAACTTTGGTCTGGGTCTTTCCCACCCTTTGCTGGGGGCTACTGTTCAGGAGGAAGAATCCAGAAATCAGAACTTAGTGGGGAAAGCTTAGTACTAACACTTGAGAGTTACACCCTTCCCTTCCTTTAGGATTCTTTGAATTAGTTAGTTGGGAACCTCACCCCGCCCCCTCCCCTAACCCTAGGGCTGTTGGGTGGAAGCAATGGAAAGGAAAGTCCTATTCTGACTCATTCTGCAGAGCAGCATCTGACCCCGGCAGGAAGAACTTGCTGGTGTGTCTTCCCGGGCCATGGAAAGTGCATCTGGGTTTCTTTAGAATTAGTCTGTCACTCGGCACTTAAAGGTTGAAGCAAATAGAACGATATATTTTCCAGTGTTTATTTTAGTCAGAGGGAAATGGCTAGCAAGGAAACTCAATAAAGTTGGCAACAAAACCTGCCTTTTAGCGACTGGACACCAATGAGTGTGTGTCCTCTCATACACACATGTACCATTTCCCCTTTCATATGCAGATCATTGTCATATGTGGCATTGGCCTTATTCACAACTGTCAGCTGTCAACTTGTTTGGATCCAAAAAAATGTCTGGAGCTTTGGAATTGCTGCGCAGGCCTCGAAATCTAGTTGCTAGCTAGGTGTGGGATAATTCAGAGTAGCCAGAGGGGTTTTAGAGGCCATGGTGGAGAGAGAGACGGGGAAAGAAATGAGGTACCTGGCCCAGGAGGAGAAAGAATGGAGAAGACAGAATTTTGCCATATGATGTATGGAATGGATCCTGCTCTGTTTCCCCATGGCTGGTGATGAAATCCAACTCACATGGAATGTGTTACAATACCAGGTTTGTTTGGAGGAAAATGCTGGAAGCATGATTACCTTGAATGGCTGAGGTAATGGAGACCCTTCAAAGTCAGGCAGAGCACATTCAGATCATGTCACCTCCTCTGTCTGCCCTCCAGGGGTCCTGGCATTGAAGCCTTGCCTGTTGTCACTCTCCCCCCAACATCTGCCTCATCACTTCCTCCCAAAGCTTCATCCCCACCCTCCCTAAGCTCTACCACAGCTCTGTAGAATCCTCTTGGCCTGGCAAGTTCTGGTTGTCCATGTGCAGCTCAAGGTGAATCCAATTTGAGCAGCTCATCCCCTCAGCTGGCCCTCACAGAGCATAGGGTGCCTTCTTCTAGCTTGGTTTTTAGCTTTTGTTAGCTGGTTTTCCTTTTTTGTCCTTTTGTTCTCTTATTCTTTCTTTCCTCTTGGAATACAAATGATACAGGAGTACATTAAGCCATGCTCAAAGTAAAAATTCCCATCAGTGCATGTTAACGACAGACTGTAGTTATTGAACCATGTCTTCATACTTTTGACTGGATGCTGACAACAGCCCTGGGACGGGGTTACTGTAATTACCCCATTGCACAGGGGGGTTGGAGAGGTTAAGTAGCAAAACAAAATTCCTTCTGCAACCTGAACACAGTGCTCTCCACCTCCACCTGGCCACAGTGTGGAGTATACCCTGGGGAGACTGAACCCCAGAGTACTGTGAGGCCTTCGAGGTGATGGCTGTTGTCAGCAGAGAGGGAAGGCCCCTTGCGTGCCGCTTGCTGTGGTTGGCTCAACATGCAGGTGAGAGTCTGCACTCCCCATCTGCATCCTTTCCATCTTTGTAATCTCACCCTGGTTCTAACTGTGTAATCTCATTCTGCCTCTAACTTGCCCTGTGACCTTGGGGATGTGACATAACATCTCTTGTCTTTAATTTCCTCACTAGAGGAAGAGGTTACACTGGAACCTGGCCCTGCGAAGTTCTGGAAGGTTTTCAAGTCCCCCAGGGCCCCCTGTCCCCTTCACAGAGCTGCCAGTTGAGGAAAGTCAGAATAACCTTGGAGTGTTTCTCTTCCTGTCGAGAGAAGATTTTGCCACAGATTTTTATCGTTTTTGATAAATTCTAAGAAATTAGGGGCAATAATAGGAAAGAGACAAAATGGAGCTCACCATAGAAATTCAAGCCCTGAGCCGAGTATTCTCTCCCTGCTTTTGCCGGCCACCACCACAGTCCCGAGGGAGCCAGCAGCAGGGCTCTGTTGAAGTGGAATGATGGATGGTTCAGCCATAAAGTTGGGCGGTGCTCTGGGCAGGCCGAAGAGCCATTTTTTTCCCAGAACCACTGACTGACAATTCCCAAAAGGGCCAGAAACGAAAAGATAGAGAGATGTTAAGATGGTGTTGACATCTCTGGGGAAAAAAAAAAAAAAAAAAAAAAATGCCAAAAAGGTTTAGACATTTGTGGCACTTAATATACCAGAATGCTTCGGAGTTAGACATTTCACATCAAAATGGAATATAGAATCCACAAATTAAATTTCCATTGCAGTCAGACTTTTTGACAGAAGCCATGGTGATGGGGCGTGAGAGAGAGAACTATCCAACTCAAGCCCTCCAGCCGTCCCTCACCCATGTCATCTCCTTGGCATGACTTAGCCTCAGGTTCAGAGCTGGAAGGAACTCAATAAAACAAGATATATTGTTATGGTTTCTTACGTCAATGCTATGGGGGGAGTTATTTAGAATCCAGACAATCAGCTCTTCAATGCTATCCTCTACTATTTTGTCAATGTTCTAAATGAAGCGTCATCTGGTACTCAAGGGACTGTATTTCAAGAGTTCCCAGAAGTGCCACCTTCCCCCCTTTTGTAGGGTAACAGGAAGAGACGTGCTTCGAGCACAAACAATCTGTTCAGCTTTCCAGGCTTGGATCAGAAGAAATGTTTGTTTAGAAATGTTAGTTGGGAAGTGTGTTTTTCCAGAGCTTTCCTAGATGCAAGTGTGTTTTTCCAGCGCTTTCTTAGATGAGAGGATAAGGACTTGGAATGCCTCTCATCCCACATTTGGCCTGTTGAAGTAGCTCTAACAGGTCTTCCTGTTGCCCCAGCTTTTGGGTCTGTTTTAGGGGAAATGTCGCTCTATTCACAATGAGACTGCGTGTTCCTCCCTCCTCCACCTCTCCCATCTTGTCTTTTCAAAGCTATTAGTTTGCACTGGAGAAAACATGTGCCACTCTGGATTTCATGGTATGTGTAGCTTTCTGTCATAAGGTCTAGCCTAGTCTCTCTGCAGTACCACCCCCTGACCCAGCATGGCACCTGCTGCTACAGCCTGTGGGTGTGTTTAGTGGTGGGCTCAGCTCTTTTGAGTTCCGTGTTAAGAGCTTGAGGTGTAATTGTTGGGTATGACTGTCCTTTCCTTTCTGTCAGGTCTCTGTTTCTCTAGGTCTGTGTCCCCCACTGTGGCTTGTGTCTCATACAGGAGTGGCACCCAGACCTGGCACAAAATGGCAGCGAAGCACACTGTGTGAAAGTTACTCCATTCCATTTCCATTCCCTCTGATTTCATCCAGAAGTGTGTCCTCTCTTCCTCTCCCACCATGATATTGTTGCCAGATCCTGTCTTTCCATACCTTTTAAGCACCCGCCAAGCTCCCTGTTTAACAGACAGAGTAGGCCTTAGGCCACAAGTAGCCAGTCAGTGGTCTTTGGCTAAAATGTAAAAACATTTTATTTTTATTTTGTTGTTGTTATAGTTACGGTCAATATTGCAGCATCCTGATTTCCTATTGACATATAGTGATCGAAAATGTATGTTTTATTTTTTTTAAAGGTAAATTTGCTTTATATTATTACTAATAATAATAATATATATTATTAATTTCAGTGAGGAAGGGAGAGGGAGAGAGAGAAACAATCAATGATGAGAGAGAATCATTGATCAGCTACCACCTGCGTGCCTCACTCTGGGGATCTGGCAGCAACCTGGGCATGTGCTCTGACCAGGAATTGAATCATGAATGAACTCCTGGCTCATAGGTTGATGCTCAACCACTGAGGGACTGGGCAGAAAATGTATCCTATATAATAAAAGGGTGATATGCAAATCGACCAAACAGCAGAACAACCAGTTGCTATGATGCTCACTGACCACAAGGGGACAGATGCTCAACGCAGGAGCTGCCCATAGCCTACAGGCCCCGATCACCTCCCAGTCCCTTCCCCTGGCCTGGCAGGCTCTGATCGCCTGGCGGGTGTTAGTGGGGGCAGGCCAGCTGCCGGCAGCTAGAGAAGATGGCCCTGATCGCAGGCCAGGCCTAGGGACCAAAACCATGCATAAATTTTGTGCACCAGGCCTCTAGTGTTTTAATATTTACCTAAGTTTCATTTACAGACAATTTGAAGGTTAGTTATAGCAGTGTTTCCCAACCTTCTCTCATGATGAGAATCACCTGGTGGAGTTGTTAAAACACAGATTCCTGAATCCCAACTAAGAAGTGCTAAACTAGAATTTTTGAGAACATATAGGTAAAATTGCATACCTAACTTAGTGCTCTGTATATAAAATCTGTCTTAGAGCACTAGTTAAGTATACAATTTTACCTATATGTTCCCAAAAATTCTAGTTTAGTACTTCTTAGTTGGGATTCAGGAATCTGTGTTTTAACAACTCCACCAGGTGATTCTCATCATGAGAGAAGGTTGGGAAACACTGAGTTATAGTATGGACAGCACACAGTCGTGGCAGAAATCATGAGGATGCCCCGTGGATGGCCAAGGATGGGGAAGCCCTGCTGTAATTGCCTTTTAGTATGCAGAGGGCTTGTGATTCCACTTACTTACAGCTTGTTCCTTTCTCCATTTCAGGCATGGATCCTGAAAAACTAGAGCGAATCCAGCTCCCAGAGCCCAGTGCTGCTGAGAAGACCGTCTACAACCACCTACTGGCCGAAAGACTCATCAGGATCATGAACAGCGCTGCCCAGCCAGGTGCCTGGAGCAAGTTGGCTGTTCACAGGGGTGGCGGAGTTAGAGGGATCAGGCCTCCACACCTGATCTTAGCAGATCCAGGCAGATCTCAGCCACTCCCTCTGGCATGCACATCCGTGACCTGGGTCTCCTCTCTTCCTCTCCCACCATGATGTTGTTGCCAGATCCTGTCTTTCTGTCTCCTTTCCTACCCTTCTTTGGCCAGTTTTGCCAATGTCTGTAGCCCTCATCTGGGGGTAGCCTAAGGCTGTGTTTGAGCTTGTGAGTGAATGGGGAAAAAGATTTGGGTCAGATGCTTTTGATAATACAAGATGTGCCCAATGTCTGGCCGTGTCAGCCTAGTTCTGGATTTTAGTCAACACTGACCTGCCACAGAAGGGCTACAAATAGCAGGCAGAAGGATCTAGCACAGTGATTCTCAATTGGAGTCAACCTTGCCTCCCAAGGGACATTTGGCAGAGTCCAGAGATAGTTTTGGTTGTCACAGCTTGAGAAGGTGGTACAATTGGCATGGAGTGAGAGAGGCCAGGGGTGCTGCTAAACATACCACAATGCACAGGGCAGCCCCACACAAAGGATTGTCTGACCCACGATGCCAACAGTGTCAGGGCTGGGAAACTCTGATTGCAAGGCAGATTCTCTGCAAAGGCAGAGAGAGGCTAGCAGGTTGGAGTGAATGCATGGGAAGGGGCTCGACTGAGATGCGGCCCGAATGAGAGAACTGAGCTAAGCCGTCAGGAGCAATCCAGGGAGTAGGCCCAGTTCAGGCTCAGGGAGGGGGTTGTGATTGCAGACAAAAACTTGAAGAACACAGGGGAGTTGTTCCAACTAGTGGCAGAAGCACAGAGGAGTGCCCGGGAGGGAGTGCAGGTCTTGAAGAGCCAAGTCTATGGCCTAAACTTTAGGCCCTAAAGAATGTCAGCAGGGGATCAGTAAACTCAACAAAGTATTTATTGAACTTTCCTGCATGCCACCACTGTGTGCGTGACGGGGGCACTGGAAGTGTCCTTTGGAGCCACCGCTCATGGTCTGGAAGTCCCAGTGGTCTGGGGCTCCTTGTGAAGATGGAATCTGGAACTCAAGGTGGGTCAGGGCTAGAACAAACACTATGGGGCTCACAGGCATGTGGGTGTTTTTAAAGCCATAGAGAGAAGAGAGGCATGTGTAGGACGGAGCCCTGGGCCACTACCGATATCTGGAGGTGACAGGGTGGGCGAGCACAGGAGCCTGAACCAGGCCCCACATGGGAAGAAGTGGAGCAGGAGGGGGTGTCTTGGGTGGCAAAAAAGATGTGTGTAGCTCAGGACCACGGGGCACTCGGCAGGGTCAGTTTCTGCTGAGAAGACTGGTCAGGAAGGCAGAGTGTGACCCTGAGGATGGTGGTCAAGAGGCAGTTGGCAGGAGCTGTGTGAACAAACGTGACTTCATGGTGGAGAAAGGTAGACTGGCCTGGATGTTGGGAGAGGAACCTCCAGGGTAGGCAGGGACAGCGGGCCTCTTGAGGGCCGGGGTGTGGAACAGCCTGCATTTCTGAAGAGAAGAGGTTGGGGCAGCTGAGAGGGACAGTCTGGAAGCTGTGTTGACGACTAAGGAGCTCACTGCTCCCTGTTTCCCTCATGAGATAAGCCCAGTGGGAGGAAGTCAGCTCACTGCGGCAGGAGCTTGCAAAGGGAGACGGGTCTCGGTGGAATATCCCATTCCATTTCCCTGAAGGCAGCAGAAGGGGTGTTTCTGACCTGCCAACTGTGCGGCTCAGTGGAGGTGCAGGCAGGAGTGACACTGGGCTCCAGAAAAACTACTGAACTCTGATGAAGATGGGTGTGGGTGCCATGTGGGCAGGGCAGTGGCACAGAAGGGCTCGTTCTGGGGCAGTGGGGCTGTGGCAAGGAGAATGACTAAGCTGAGACTACCAGCTTTTTCCCACACAGCCCTGGGCTTGGATCATGCTGAGGAAGGCCTGTTTCTGCTTGCATAGAGGCTGCTCATTTTTGAGCAAACAATGCCTTCTTCTCACCTGTTTCCCATCTGACATGAGGCATCAAAGGATGGGTGGGGAGGTATGTCATGGTATATTTGCATTGATTTTTACTAGTGACGCTCCTGGTCCCTGTTAATACAAACCAAACTCATTCTGGCTGAAACAATAAAAACAAAAACAAACTGTTGGCTTATGTAATTTCAGGTTGTTGGGCACTAGCTTCAGGCACAGCTGGATCCAGGGGCTCAAGCACTCTTTTCAAGGCAGTCTTTGGCCTCTGCAGCTTCTGTGTCGGCAAGTTAACTGCCAGCAGCTTCAGCCATCCCTTTCTCTGCTGGGGCCTTAGACATGCTCTGGAGAGACACTTGGGTAATCTGGTGGAAAGAGGGGCTTGGGACTCAATTTGCAGAACACTTAACCAAAAATTGCAAACATTGGTAAGAATGGGGAAGTGGCCACTGTGGATTAAAATGCTTGTGCCACTCAGGGCCACACCACTATTCCTGTCCTCTCTGCAGCCCAAATGGTTCCAGCAAGTTGTGGAATTGAGCCTTACTAGCTCTGACTGACTCCCTTGTCAGTTCCCTACCCAATTACTACAATATGTTCCAGGATAGAGCACCCTGACCAGCCTGGGTGACGTGCCCACCCCTAAGATGTCGGAAGGGGGACCAGCTCCACTCAAATCACATGTACAATAGTGGGGCTGGTGCTTTCCAAAGGAAAGTGGGGGTGCTCATTCCTGAAGAAGGGAAAGGAGTGCTGGGCAAGCAAAGTAAGCACAGAGGCCACTTCCTAGACCTTCAGTACTAATTAATTAGTGCCTTCTTTTCCCTGTGTCCCCTCTCCCGATGAAGAGACTAAAGGGGAGTATTAGGTCTAAGCAGTTTTACTGGGAGCATTTAATTATAATTGATTGGGAAAAGGGTTGGAAAAGGTTGTCCCCGCTGGAAGTTAGGAGCCTTGAACAGTCAGCTGATCAGCTGACCTGTTAACCTCAAAGCTGGAAGGCAAGAAGCTATGATTAAGGGCATGTAGCCCAGGGTTTGCAACGCTGACCCCGGTGTGCTCTGCAGATGGGAAGATCCGGTTGACGACACTGGAGCTGAGCTGCCTACTCCTAAAGCAGCAAGTGGTGACCAGCACGGGCTGCATCATCAAGGATGTGCACCTGGCCTGTCTGGAAGTAAGGGACCTCCACACGCCCAGTGCCCGTGAGCCACTGCCACCGGGGGGAGAGGGAGGGAACCCGGGTCTGTGTGGCCCAGCAAGAAGCTGGGCCCACTGGCACCAATGCCCTGCGGCAGCCCTGTTCCCACAGAATATCCCTATAATTTAGTAGTTCTGTTATAAATCATCTCCAGGAATAGAAATTCTTTTCGTATTACAAAAGCTTTATACATAGATGAACATATACATGTATTTATAGTTTATTGTGCTAATATCTATATTGGTTGTTTTAAATAGCTTACATGGTTTTCCCTTTATTTTCCATGTTTATTTTAGAAATTTAGAAGGTACAGTTGTTAAAAGTAACTATAGTTGACATTTTGGTGTGTGTGTCTTTCTAGATACACAGATACTCAGATTTAAAAAAAATAAAAATAGAGTCATGACCTTATTTTATAACCCATTTCCCCTTAGCTGTATATTAACAGCTTTCCATGTCACAATGAATCACCTATCCTCTGCTCATTTCTATTTTGAACTCTCTCTCTTTCTCTTTCTCCTTTCTCATTAAAAACCACTTATACTAGTAGATTAAGGATATTAGCCCCATATCTGTCTTATATCCACTCAGATTTTAGAATCAGTAATTTACCCAGTTCACTTGCCTCCATGACACCTGCCTCCACATCTTCCCTCTTTTACAGGGTGCGAGAGAAGAAAGCGTTCACCTACTGCGGCACTTTTATAAGGTAAACTGGCAGCGCACTGGGCTCGGCAGGGTGGTATGTGTTGTATAAACAGGGTTGTGGAGTCTGCCTTGTACACACAAAGGTTGCATGTCTTCAGTTGTTTTGCTACCTGTGTTTCCTGAGTCAAAATGCTCAATTTCATAATCTCCAGAGCAGTGGTCTCTCAACTTTTCTGCCCAGGCGCTCTTATCACAGCTTTTGAAGACTCACCCCTAGTGTGTGACAATTTGTTTATCAACTCCGTATGAATTTGTTTATGGATGGATTCATATGTAAATTATGAATTATATCTATACATGCACACATGACTAAATTATTCATATGAATTTACATATTCATAAATTATATTTGCTTATACATATAAAATTACTTATGAATTACATATGAACTTATGAATTATATACATGTATATTATTTATATACATTTTTGCTGAGAAACTTCATACAGGCTTCCAAACATTTGTCATTAAGTTTAGTGAGATTTTGTCAAGACAAGGACCATCATGACTTGACAGTATCTGAAAAATTTATAGATTTGCGTTGAGGTTCTAGGTGATTACTTTTTAAATATCTCATTGTGATGGTTTTGATTACTTGGCAAAGCTCATCATTTGTCAGCAAGAGTGGATTAATCTGTGTGTCAAACTGTCTAGTAGATTTCTGTTTTTTTGGCCTCCACATCAGATCTCTCCAGATCCAGTTAATGATGGTTCCCCCAGTAATTTAACCGATGAAGAGATCCTCTTAGGAGATGGTGTCAATACTGCTGTTTCGTGCCTCTGTGCTTCATTTTTTGTATTCTTTCTAAACTTCTGTGGATTATATACATACTAGAGGCCCGTTGCACAAAGATTCATGCAATAGGCCTTCCTTCCCCTGGCTGCTGACACCCAGGATCCAGGCCTTCGCTCTGACTGCTGCCTTCTGTCTTTGCTCCGGCCAGAGCCTTCAGTCTTCACTCTGCCTGGAGCGCCACTCCTGGAGCTCCCTCTGCCCCCTGCCCTCCCCCTCATAGCAGGCTCCACACCTGCATGCGTGCTTCCCAGAGGCCTGGAACGTCGGGGGTGGAGCTGCTGCCATCTTTGTTGTGTTAATTTTCATATGCACCCCTGATTGGCTGGTGGGCATTGCAGAGTGACAGTTAATTTGCATATTTCTCTTTTATTAGTGTAAATATACAAGAATCTTTCTTTGCAAGATACTCTTTTCTTTTAATTTACATGTAATCTTTTTAAAAAAATAACAACATTTATTTTGATTTCAGAGAGGGAGAGAGAGACAGAAAATCATCAATTGGCTGCCTCCTACATGTCCCCCACTGGGTATGGAGCCCACAACTTGGGCATGTGCCCTTGACTGGAATCGAACCCGGGACCCTTCAGTCCATAGGCCGACTCGCTCTATCCACCAGCCAGGGCTGCAGGACACTTTTTAAGCCACTGTCTATTATTGTCCATGTTCACTGAAATAAAGCCACTTCATGTAATCTGGAAATCCATCTCCCCAGTGTCTGATGACCCCCTGCAACTGCAACACCATGGGCATGCTCAGATGAATGTGGCTCCCTTGTGGCCCCCAAACACTGGGGAGGAAATCCCAGTCTCCCCTTAGACCAGTGGTCGGCAAACTATGGCTCGCGAGCCACATGTAGCTCTTTGGCCCCTTGAGTGTGGCTCTTCCACAAAATACTACAGTCTGGGCGAGTCTGTTTTGAAGAAGTGGCGTTAGAAGAAGTTTAAGTTTTAAAAATTTGGCTCTTAAAAGAAATTTCAATCATTGTACTGTTTTGTTTTGTTTTTTTAAATATATTTTATTGATCTTTTACAGAGAGGAAGGGAGAGAGATAGAGAGCTAGAAACATCAATGAGAGAGAAACATCGACCAGCTGCCTCTTGCACACCCCTTACCGGGGATGTGCCCGCAACCAACGTACATGCCCCTGACCGGAATTGAACCTGGGACCTTTCAGTCTGCAGACCGACGCTCTACCACTGAGCCAAACTGGTTTCGGCGCAATTGTTGTACTGTTGATATTTGGCTCTGTTGACTAATGAGTTTGCCGACCACTGCCTTAGATCATCCTAAGTGAGAATGTGTGTCCTCTAGCAAAGCTTTAAAGAAGGCAGAGACCTCATGCTTGTATCTGTCATCTTTAAGTCTCCAATGTAACTTGTATTTAGTGTATTTATCCCCTAGAAAGCTTCTGGATTGCAAAAATAGAAAAGACACGTTAGTAAGCATTTTCTCCAAAGGTTTTTTGTTTGTTTGTTTGTTTTGTTTGTGTTTTGTGTTTCTTTGTGTGTGTTTTTTTTACCATTGACAAAAGTGTTAGAGCTGAAACCGATTTGGCTCAGTGGTAGAGTGTCGGTCTGCAGACTGAAAGGTCCCAGGTTCGATCCGGTCAGGGGCATGTATGTTGGTTGCGGGCACATCCCCGGTAGAGGGTGTGCAAGAGGCAGCTGGTCGATGTTTCTCTCTCATCGACATTTCTAGCTCTCTATCTCTCTTCCTTCCTCTCTGTAAAAAATCAATAAAATATATTAATAAAAAAAAAAAGTGTTAGAGGCACCTCTCACTGACAACAGAGTGGTGTTACCAGACAGCCCCCTGAGTCAGTGGGAGAGGGCTGTTTCCAACCTCAATCCTGTCATCTGATATAAATAAATTTATACTAGAGACCGTGATGTATTGTGGTAAAGCCAATTTATTAAAGCAATTAAAGCAAGCAAATTTATTAAAGAAGCATGGCAAGCAAATCTGTCATCCAGCCTAACACACACAGATGGGCTCTCAGCTAATCTGAAGAGCGAGTTGGGTGAGGGTCCTGTAGACCCTCCTGTCTACAGGCTTCAGAATTCCTTTGCTGAATATTTTGGTACAGGTTAATTCTCAAGGTCCCTTTTTACTTTGTTGTGGCCTTCCCAGAATTCTGGAGAAGCACCTGGCAACTTGATCTCGCCGAGCTTCAAGACTGCTAGCTTTTCTGCTTAGGGAATAAAACGGCCTTTCCCCCCATTTTCTCCTCCTTCCTCCATCTCTTATTAAGGAGGTTTTTAACCATTTGCTCTCAAGGGTCCTTGGCTGGGAAAGATAATGGCTTATTTACAAGCTGGCTGCAAATTGTCAACATTGTTTGGCCTTGTTTTGACTTTCCTGTCTCAGTTTCCCTATTTTTCCTGGCCTGGAATCCTATAACAAAAGGAGAGCTTATACTGCAGATTCTCTAATAGCATTTTGTTCAGTGTCACTTTTTTATAATGTTGAGGGGAAGAAATCGATTCCTAGCCTGGGCCACCTGTGGAGTTTGCATGTTCTCCCCATGTCTGCAGAGGTTTTCTCTAGGGACTCCAGTTTCTCTCACATCTCAGAGATGTGCATGTGGGGAGAATGAGTGTCTGCATTGTCCCAGTCTGACTGCGTGTGGCTGTGTGAGTGGCCTGGGAAGAGCATTCTGTCCTGACCTGCCAGGGCAGGCAGCCACCTGTGACCCTGACCCAGAATAAGTGTGTTAGAAAAGAATGATCTGCCTGATTTTTATTCATGTTTCTTAAATGTTTAATATTAGAAGTGTTTTTAGGTTTTTATTTAGAAATGTGTGATGTTTCTGTGACCAGAGATATGCTATAGGAACTTAACTCTTGTATATATCAATTGAGCCATAGTAAAATTGGTTTCATTTTATGTCATCTCACTGAAAGTCAGTTTCCTAGAACCTTTCGACAATGGTAAGTAAGAACTTGTATTTGAATTGCAGCTCCCTTCTCCCAACCCTGCTTTCTCTGTCTTTCATCCTAACTATAATATCTGAGAAGCTTTTGGGTTTTCAGGGGCTGTTATTTCTGTGGTTATTACCTGGTATTTACACCATACAAGAATATTCAAATTTATCTGTAGATCTGATAACTGGAAAAAAATATATGAAGGACCTATTGCTTTTCCCATATTGACTGTGTGTGGGATGTGTGTGCCAGAGAGAGAAAGGCGGGAGGGAAGGAGGGAGAGGTATTCAGGACTTATGAGAGAGACAGGACAGTTCTAATAGTCGTAATACATTCAGCTGGACCTCCCAGCCCCTCCCTAGCTGTGGTCCCATCCAGTAGTGACCATAATGACTGTGGGCACTAACACTTAGCCCTGATTGAGTGGCAGGCTCAGCTTTTTATGTGTGCTTACTCATTTCATCTTCACAAAGACCCACACAGACAGGGGCTGCCATCTCAGGCTCTCAGGGAAACAGAGAGAGTCTCGATGAAGTAAAGTTGGGACTTGGCCCCTGGTTTATGTGTTGGAGTCAAGTTCACATACCAGCCTGTTTTGAGAGGGACTTCCTAGACAGTCCTCAAGGCTGCAGGAATACAGAACCTCAAAGGCATGGCTCAAAAACAAACGGAGCAGGCCTATAATTTTAGTGTTAAGCATATTTAATTATACTCTTCCTTTCAGAGGTGTGGAGCCTCATGGTTTTAACATGGCAAGTTGACCAGGGTTCCCCTTTCCTCAACCATGCTCCACAAATAGAGGATGATAAACATTTGAAACGTTAACCATTTTAATATTTTAATTATCTATGGTGTTTTTTTGGTTTGTATTTTTAACTAACTGCCTTGACAGAATAAATCTAGCTACATATGCTTAAGCAAGAGAGAAAACCGTTGAGAGGTGCAATTTGATATCTAGGCTTTCATTGGAGCATGTGTTCATGTTCACGTGTGCATTTTACTTGCTGGTGATTTACGAGAACCCTCTAATGAGAAACAGATGGTCTCAGAAGCCGTGAACTAAAGTTCATAATACTTAGTTGTTTATGGGGAGAAATATGCATAATTTTCTCTTCCCTCTTTTAGGGAGAAGAAATATTTTTGGATATGTTTGAAGACGAGTACAGGAGCATGACAGTAAGTGAGGGGCCAGAAGCACCTGTGTTCCCACAAAGCTTGCCCAGCCAAACCAAGAGAGGGATGGAAGGAAGGAGGCATGGAAGGAGAGAGGAAGGGAGAGAGAAGAGAGGAAAGGAAAGGAGAGAGGAGGGAGCACTTACTTGGGGCTTTTTGCCCAGATTGCAGAGGTTGGTAGGGAGGTAAACTGGAAATGGTGATCCCCGGCACTGAGGAAATTTCAGATGACATTCACTCTCCCTGAGCTGGGCTGTGTCCTAAGACAGGTCAGGAAGGTTCACTTTGATATGAGTAGTATTTGATTAAGGACTTACTCTGTGACAGGTGTGGAAAGCCTGTGACACATGTTAAATCTCTCATCCCCCTGCCGACCCAGCGACCCAGCGGAGTAGCTATCATTAGCCTCTTTTTACTGATAAGGAAAGGAGAGTCAGCTTAACCCTTTGCACTCCGAACCATTCTGGACATTGGCTACCAGCTACTCGACGCTACTTTGCGGCAGACACGTGCGTTGAATTAACTCAATTCCCCGTGATCACTAATAAACTGCCATGTCCCCCCTGAGAGGGGACATCCGAGTGATATGCTAGAATTCCGATGTCCCCTGAGAGGGGACAGCGGAGTACAAAGGGTTAAATGAGATGCCCACATGTGCCAGCCAGAGAGGGGCAGAGCAACTCGCCCCTCAGCCCCAGCCCTTCTCTCTACATTATGCCACCTCTTTTGCCGTGCCACCAGAATGTTCTGAAATGTTCCTTGAGTTGCAATGCCAGCCCAAAGCCTTCCTTTTTTGCATCCAGCAGGCAGAATTGTGGGAAAAGATAGGTTTAGCAGATTGCAGCTTTCTCAGGTTTGCTCCTTTCTCTCTGCATCCCCAGCACCTGCCCCTTAGTTGGCTCTCAATAAATAGATGATAAATGATTTTTTCCGTGGAAATTACTCACCGAAAAGTGAAGTGATTCGGGAAGTTTATAATAAGCCTAAGTGTTTAAAGTGTCCAAAAGAAAAAGGCAGGCAGCATGCACTAAGTGGCTCCCTGGCCCATTCACCAGGTTTCCAGACAGCTGGGCCTTCACCACAGCCTTGCCCTGCTTAGTTAGCTCTGGTTAGGAGGGACAAAAAAATGTGACTGAAGCCCACATTCTAAAAGACACAAAAATAAGCTTGTGGTGCTTTAAGGAGTAAAATGAATTCTATAGAAAATGTACCTTTGTGAAATGTCATTCCTTTATGATGCCAGGCATAAATGAAGTGTCACTGTCCAACTTGTGTATAGTAAAGGGTCAGTACTGATGCAACAGTTTCAGGAGGGGAGGTGACGTTACAGTGTCTTAGTAATCAGAGACGGTGGTGTGGAAGGAGGAGACAGCTCTGCCCCTGACCGGCCCAGTGGCTATGGACATCTGCCCTTCCTCTGAGCTCAGTATCCCCCTCTGTGATAGGGGACCACACCAGCACCCACCATCCAGTAGGAAGTGAGCCTTGTGGTGCCTGCCACTTAGCAGATGCTCAATAAGTGGCTTTGTTCTGTTACCCCAGGTAAGATGCTAAGGGGGCAAGGAAGATAGGGGGGGATGTTGGTGCAAATCATAGGAGGTCTAGAGCCAGGTAAGCCTGCGTCTGTGTCTTGGTTCCGCCACCAGCCCACTGAGTGGGCCCAGATCCATTCCTCAACTTCTCTGAATCTATTTTCTCATTCGCAGATTGGGAAACATTCCCTCTGCAGTTGTTGGGGAGGGTTAAACAGGATCCTACATGCAAAGCCTTTAGCTTGTTGCCTGCCCCGTAGTCCGCTCTCCTTAAATAGAAGCTGCAGTCACTGTAACTGTCATCATAGCTGAAGTACTGAGAGGAGGAGGTGGACAGCAGTCACGTGGGCCAGACCACCCTGAAGGGACCACAGTAACAGGACCAGCCTCCTTCCTGAGGACCCCCTCCCTTCTGGGTGGAGGGGAATGAGGATGAGAAAGCAAAGCTTTTCAGAGCAGGGAGGCCATTTCTCAAGAGCGCCAGAGCTGTCACTTCAAACAAAGGGGAAATCTGTACCTTAGAAACCAAAAAAAGGCCATCTCACACACCTGCCTGCCTCCAGGCTTTTCCTAGGTCTTAATCCAGGGTTCAGGTGCTGAACTACCTGTGTGACTTGCCCTACCCCCTTCTCCTTCCAGTGAGGTCTCTGTGATGTCTCTCTTCCAGATGAAGCCCATGAACGTGGAATATCTCATGATGGACGTCTCCATCCTGCTGCCCCCCACGGGCACGCCACTGACGGGCATTGACTTTGTGAAGCGGCTGCCATGTGGTGACGTGGAGAGGACGCGGCGGGTGAGTGGGCACTGGATCTGGCCTCTCCTGGCAGCTGTCTGCCAGAACCACTCAGGGCAGGGGAGAAAGGTCTCTGATCAGGTCATGAGTCTGCCTTCCCACACAAGTGCAGATAGTAGGGAGACAGACAACACCTGCTACACCCCGCAAGAGGAGAAACTTCCCCAAGCAGCTGCCCTCTGCTAAAGCAGGGATTGGAATCCCATTGCATTTGGCACCGGGGTGGGTTGCAGGCAGGCTGCCTTCCTGGTGCAGCCCTCTCCCCTCCCCCCGAGCTTGGGAGAGGAAGCCAGAGGCCGGGTCTGCAGAGGACGTGGGGGAGTGAGCAGAGCTAACAGTGCAGGTGGGGCTGGCGTGGAATCAGCCCAGAGAGGCTCAGGATACCCCACGATGGTGTGATGTTAAGGTATCTGAGTGATCTCGGGGTGAGGCACAACAATTGAAATGGTGGTTCTTGCCGGCCTGCGGGAGAGACCTGTGTGAAGGGTGGACTAGTTCTCAGAACCCAGCTGGAGTGTGTGCTTCCGTTATCAGCGTTTTTTTCTGAAGCAGTCTCGCGGGGCTGTTCATGGTATTTTATCTCCCTCGTAAGATTACACTTTCTTTCTTAGAAAGCACCAAAACCTTTTCCTAGAAAATCATTCTCTGGAGACGTGAATGCTAGTGGATAAATTAGTGGAATTCATTGCACTCAACTCTCGTTATCGGCCTGTATCTTTCTGTGAGTTAATCCTCTTGTAACCAGAGCAGCTGAGGTGTTTTAGGTTTTGGATTATGAGAAGCAGGCGGGACCTGCTAGATCTGCCTCAGACCAGAGGTTCTGTGGCCTTCCTCTACCCCTCTGGCAATTTTGCCACAGAGGCCTGGGGGGGGGGGGGGGGGCGGGAAGCAGAGGAAGTGGGACCCATGTGTCTTAAGTCAGTCCACGTTCTTTGCAGTCTGACCAAACCCACAGGCCTCACCACAGAACACGCCCTGTCCGAGCCAGTGACGCCTGCCTTCCCTGTGCTCCCAGCCAGCGCTGCAGGCCCTGCAGCAGGCACACGATTGTGTTTGTGGGTGGTGGTGTTTGCAATGGGCATTCTTGGCATCAGCTTTTACAAGAGACTGGTTCTGACAGGTGTGAGTCATAGCCTTCATGGTGCAGGCACGCTCACCCTTAGCCTTGGGTTGTTCTAAGACAGTGGTCTGCAAGCTCATTAGTCAACAGAGCTAAATATCAACAGTACAACGATTGAAATTTTTTTTTGAGAGCTAAAAACCGACTTCTGTGCATGGGCAACGAAGTTTCAGCCGCACTGTACGTGCACACCCACAGGTGGTATTTTGTAGAAGAACCACACTCAAGGGGCCAAAGAGCCACTGTTTGCCGACCACTGGTCTAAGGGGTGCTCCCCAGCAAGGTGACAGTGAAGCTGCCCACCCGGTTGGGCTGCATGTCTCTGAGGTTCTCTAGTCTTTTGAGCCAGAAGGTGCAGAAGGCTGCCACTCTGGGCTGCATCCTGCCTCCTTTCTGGGACATGGTCCATCAGGCATTGTTAACACTCACACGAGTTCCCATTCTTTATTATAAAGTGGATTGTTCATAGCAGTTCTTTAAATGAATTTTCTCACATCATTCTACAACTGTCCTAAGAGGTTGTCATTACTATTATTTTCATCTTACTGAGGAAGAAACTGGGGCACCAAGAGGTTAAGTTATTTGCTCAAGGTCACCCAGCTATTAAGTAGCAGAGCCAGGCCCAGCTGGTGTGGCTCAGTGGTTGAGCATTGGCCTATGAACCAGGAGGTCACAGTTCAATTCTTAGCACATGCCCCCCCAGTTGCAGACTTGACCCCTGTAGGAGAGTGCAGGAGGCAGCCAATTAATGATTCTCTCTTACCATTAATGGTTTTTTAAAAATATATTTTTATTGATTTTTTACAGAAAGAAAGAGAGAGGGATAGAGAGTTAGAAACATCGATTAGCTGCCTCTTGCACACCCCCTAATGGGGATATGTCCGCAACCAAGGTACATGCCCTTGACCGGAATCGAACCTGGGACCCTTGAGTCTGTAGGTCGACGTTCTACCCACTGAGCCAATCTGGTTTCAGCTCACTATTAATGTTTTTATTTCTCTCTCCCTCTCCCTTTCTCTATGAAATCAATAAAAATATATTTTTTTAAAAGTAGCAGAGCCAAGATTCAGCTCAGTTGGGGTGGCATCAGAGCCACTCTGACTCACTGCTCCCTTCATTGTATATATTAGTGCTACTCAGCACTGGACACCAGGGATATAAGAAACAAGGAATCAGAATCTAGAGGGTGAGGGTGGGAAGAGCAGCATCAACCCATGTGGCTGGGGCTGTTAGGAACGGAACATGGGGTCAGGCCCCTAATCTATCTGGGGAGAGGCAGGGAGCAGACACAAGAGGGATGTGGAACATTCCAGCACCAAGCAGGGACTGTGGCTGGAGCGAGAGTGAGGGAGGCTACATAGGAAGTGATGAGTCGAGGGGCTGGAGGAACAGGGTTCTCCTGAGACCCTTGGCCCTGTTAGCAGATTCCTGACACCGTGCTCTGCTGGCTTAGGGCAGACAGTCCCGATCCACAGGAGAAATGAGAGAAACTCGAGGCTGAGGCATATGGCAGAGGAAGGGTTGCCTGGGCTTTGGAGTTCCTGCTCCCTGGTAAGCCACTCTATCGATCTAGAAAGCAACATGTGCCCGCCTTGCCAGAGATGTGAGGACTCAGTGAGAGGCAGAAACACTGGAAACCAGTGACAGTTCCTGATGACAGGGGTTTGCTTCTTCTCATTGCCCTTTACTTAGCTGCAAGTTCCCGGGGCTGTGCTGCCCACCTCCCTTGCCCCAGATATGTTACATAGTCCTAACTAATACCTGAAGCATGGACAGAACCTCTGGGCACATCTGGGCTTCCCTATGGCCTTTGATCGGCTTTGTCTATCTGACAAGTTTATATTGAATAAAAGCAAATCCAGGGCCCATGGATTAGAGCCAGGGAGAAGGTTGGTATTAAAATAGGTTGGCCACCCGCAAGCACAGCCATCCAAGAAACTTCCCTTGTTTACTTCAAGAATCAATTTCTGTTTTTAGTCTAAGTATAGTTGGCATACAATATTATATTAGTTTCAGGTGTACAATATAGTGAAGAATTGGTTTCTGAATGGGAATTTCCACCACTTACCTCAGTCCAGTTCCTATTGCAAGGTAGCTAGCTATTTGGAATCCTCCAGAAGCTTAGCTCCTCAGCCTGTTTCAGACATGAGAGCGCAGCGGTGTGCTTTGAATTTGAACTTAAGGAAGTGTATGGTTTAGCAAGCAATTGAGGGCTTATGTGGTTTGTTTCAAGTTCTTTGCTTGTATCCAAAGAACATTCCATTTCATCTTTTGGATTCAAAGGCTTTTTTTTTTTTTTTTTTTTTTTTCCTACTAACTAGACTTTTCTAACTCTAGGATGCTGAGCGTTTCAGAAATCCCACCCTTTATTTTCCTTAGGGACTTGTGAGAGAAGTTCAAACAACCAGACTAGTGAATCATTGCTAACTTGTACACTGTTCCTTCATACATTCATCAAAGAACCACTAGATTCCTGTGCCAAATGCTGGGGACCAGGGAAAATGTCGCTGCTTCTGAACCTCCCATGAAATCGGGAGAGGTAAAGTTTATTAGCAAGTAAGCAAATGGCAAGTGTGTTGTCACTCTGCAGTAAAGGCTCTGAAGGAAAGGGGGCTGGCACTATGTTAGATATATAGCCATATTTCATAGGAGGAAGGCTCCTCCGACAAGGTTGAGACCTGAGCTGAAACTGAAGAGCGAGAAGGAGGCAGCCATGCAAAGACTGAAAGGAGGCACTTCCCAGATGAAGGCAACAGTGAGTGCAGAGTTTCTGATGGGGCAGAGCACAGCGTGTTCAAGGAGCAGGGTAACTGGAGCAGAGTGAGTGAAGGGGCCAGGAAGAGGGGGAGGGGCTACCAGAGGAGGGATGCAAGGACTCACAGGCCATGGAGAGGCACCTGGCAATAAAGTCATATTTTCCTCATGCATTTTGCAAATTACACTTTTTATTCTTTCATTTGACATCTTTATTAAGCATTTTCTAGATGCTAGGCACTATAAGATGTAAGACTAGGCACTACTAGATGTAAGACTAGTGAACAGATAATATAAGAAAGATCAAAACAGCAAGATTGTTGCTTGGTCATGACAGCTGAGAAGGGAAATTCATGTTGAAATGAGGGTCACAAGAACTACTGGGGTCTGATGAGAACACGAAAGCAGAACCTAAGACTTGGACTGGACTTCCCCCTGTGCCAGGGGTATTTGAGAGAAAGCTCGTCAATTAATCCCAACTCTAGCTGTGTGACCTCAATCAAGTTACTTAATTTCTCTGTGCCTGAACTTCCTTGTGTGTCCTGCCTGTCAGCCCTTGCTCAAAGTAGATGAGAGAGTGACTGTGAGGTGGCAGAGCCCAGTGCCTAGCAGGCAGTAAGCACTCAGGGAATGTTGGCTGAACACTGGTGGAGCATTCCAGCACCTTAGGTGGGAAAGGAATAGTCTTTATTGATCTAAATCTACCAAAGTTTAATGCTAAGGAAAAGAGCTTGGGAGACAATTTTTTGGTGGATATCAAACTCTGAATGTAAGACACTAGCCATTTTTATGTTAATAATCTTGGAAAACATTATGAAGTAGATTATTTGCATAAAGTTTTATTTGTCCCTGCATTCTATTTCCCTGTTCTCTTGTGAAACCACAAACAATTCTTGTTTATCACTACTGGCCTTGAGGAAATAGGATATTTTGCTTTACTTCTTGGATATTTATTATGCATTAAAGAAAATACAGTAGCACCTCATAAAGAGGGGAAAATTTCCCATGATTTCATCAGCCTACACAATCAACACTTAGACATATTTTTGGTCTCCTCCCTATCTTTGCAAACACATCTTAACATGCTTTCAGGGAGCATGTACCATGATTTATCCTCACACCCCTTTCTCTTTCCTTTGTAGAGCAAGAAATTTGTCATGTGTTAATACAATTTTAATAAGTCTACTTTCTTACTGGTGCATAAAAGTCTATCTGGTGGCTTCTGCCATAATTTACTTAGACATTTTTCTGTTGGTAGACATTTTGGTTGCTTGCAGTCTTACATTATTTTCAACTGAACTGTAATGAGCAGCTTCACAGTGTTTTCTTTCTTTTGGCTTATTTCTTTAGGATAAGTTCCCAGAAGTGGAATTTCTGGTTCAAAGGGTATGAATATTTGTGTGTGTGTGTGACTCTCTACATATTGCCAGATTGCTTTCCCAATGGGCTGTGCCCACTCTAAACTGCTTCAGCACACTTAAGAAATGACTGACTTTCACAGCCACGTCCACGGTCTTGGTGGGCTGCTAACCTGAGTGACTGTCGCCTAAACTCAGCAGCTTGCAAATGCAGCAAGGGAAGCAGGGGAAAGGCTCCAGCAGAGCCTTTGATCCAGGACCAGCCCAGGGCTCAGTGTGTCACCTGCACTTGGTCATTGCATGTTTGTAGTGGCCCCATGATCTCAGGGTGGTGGGTCCCCATTTCCAGAGCTTGAGCCTGGGCTTGAGGAATTCATGTTACTTGCCTGAGCCCAAGTTGAGTCAAGGTTTGCCTGACTGAACCCATCCTTCTGCCCTACTCATCCCGAGGACTCTCCTTGCCAGAGTTTGCTCCCCGTGCATTGAAGCCAACTGGAGGAGTTCTTTCTATCTGAGTTTAGTCAGCTGTCACCCTTCCCAATTTTAATCTGCTCTTCCAGAGTCAGTCTTCCTGGCATTCTGTGGAAGCACCTCAAAGAATAATTCTTTTTCAGTATTACTTTTAAATTTGCATGTTTATTTAGCAAAGTAAAGTACTCAGTAAAAGGCTGGATCCCAAGCTTAAATCCATTAAAGGCAAAGGCATGTGGTTGGAAGAACATAGACTTTGGGAGTCTGATTGTTAATTGAGTTACCTTGAGAAGCTGCCTAACATATCTGGGCTGTACAATGAGAAACAAGCAGGTCCTTAAAAGGCTAGAATGAGATGACACAGTATAAGGCCCTCCCCTACCTGGCAGGCAGTGGGTAGCAGATGGCATGGGTATTGTTTTAGGGGGTGGTGGGATGAATTTTATGTCTTCTCCTGGTGTCTTAACTTTAGCAAATTCTCGGGAGTTGTGTCGATGGTCAAGTGCCTGCCAGACGCAATAGCCCCCAATGGAAGCCCAGCTTTCCCCCAAGTGGAGCCCCGGGCCCCGTGGGAACCTGCCTCCTCTCACGTTCATGGGCGTGGGCTTCTCATGCACTCTTCCTGCTCTTAGCAGTTGGAGCAGAAACCAGGAAAAATATTATTGGGAGTTCTACTTTATATATTCATATTCTTCGTATTTTTATTATTTTATTATTTTGTATTCCTGGAAATATCTCCCATCTGTTGCTTGAAGAGCAAAAGCAGATGTTTTACCAAAAAGGTCCACATTAGGAGCCAAGTTTCAAACTCCTTTTACATTGGAAGGCTCTGGTTTTCAGAGTGATGGGTGTAAGCTGCACACATTTGTCTTTCCTCATCCCTGTTCAGGGTCCTCTTGATTTCTCTGCCTTCAGAGCCCCAAGAGGAATGGGTTGTTGACAGTGAAATGAAGCGTCCGCGTAACTCGGACCTGACTGCCATGGGTCTTTTTCTTCTTTCTCCCTCATCTCAAAGCCGTGACTCCCTATTTTCTCAAACTACCACATAGGTTAGGTGCCCAACCACATCTTGGGCTTTCTGCACTTAGGCTGGAGTGAGCATTGGAATGTCTTCTCCTCATGTGCTTGGTTAAGTGACACAAGTGTCATACATTCCTGCGTTCCACCCCAGATCAGCCACTCAGCAGCTGCATAAACTTAGATTTCTTTGCCCCTCCACGGTGTTTCTTCCTGCATAAAATCTTTGCATTCCAGGCGAGTACCACATTGCCTGGCACACAATAGGAGTGCTATAAATAAAAGCTGTTTTAATTTTTTTTTAAATGAAAGCATACCTCTTATTGTTGCAGATGTCTTTATGAAAACTGTACTTTAAAAACTAAGATCAGATCAGTACTAAATGCCACTACCATCACCATCTATAATAATCTATAATAAAAGCATAATATGCTAATTATACCAGACATCCTTCCGGATGACCTTCTGGATGAAGCCAGGGCTGCAAGGGAAGCCTGGGTCCTGGGTGCCTGCCAGCTGCTGGAGGGAAGCCTGGGTCCCAGGTGCCAGCGGTAAGCTGGTGCTGGCAACCAGGGGAAGGAAGGCCTACTCTTGCACAAATTTTGTGCATCGGGCCTCTAGTTATAATATAAAAACTTATCTTTTTCTACTCATGGTTGACAGTAGGTCCAGGAAGTAGGATTGTTCTTCTAGTTTTCTACATTAGGTTAAGTGATTGTCCCAAGGTCTCCTGCTGGTTCCAGGCCAAGGCAGGATTAGTGTTAGGCCTGCCATCGGGCATCTTTACTGCATGGATTATCAGGACTCCTTATTTTGGGAGACACCTTGTCACATAAAGGGCAGCCTCTTCTCTCAGTAGGCCAAGCCTGTAGTCCTCAGAACTGTAAACAAGAGGACCCAAAAGGGGGCTGGAATTCATTTTCCTGTGGCTCACCAGTGGCGACAGTGGTTTGTCCCATGCCTGCCCCCGTGCCTAGCTGGCAACTGACTAGAGTAAAGGATAGCTGTCCCTTTACAGAATACATGTTGGCTGCTTCCTGCCCCACCCCCCAGCTCTATTTAATTTTTTTTCCTTTTAAAAAAATATATATTTTATTGATTTTTTACAGAGAGGAAAGGAGAGAGATAGAGAGCTAGAAGCATCAATGAAAGAGAAACATTGACCACCTGTCTTTTGCACACCCCCCACTGGGGATGTGTCCACAACCAATGTACATGCCCTTGTCCAGAATCGAACCTGGGACCTTTCAGTCCACAGACCGACGCTCTGTCCACTGAGCCAAACCAGTTTCTGCCCAGCTCTATTTCGAGGTAGGGACTACCATCCCCGTTTCACAGATGAGGCCATTGAAACTCACAGATGTGAGAGACCTCATCCAGTTTGGTGCAGCTGGGAGTCCAACATAGATCTCATATGTCTGACTCGGGAGCTGTGGCCATCAGCTAAAGTCAGGGACAGTGGTCCGGAGGAGGCCTCTCCTGTGGGCCGCCCTTCTGCTTCCTGGTTTCGGGTTGGTGGGCAAGTCAGCCCCAATTAAGACACAGGGAGCAAGCTGGCTCGGTGAGGGCTGCTTTCTTCACAAACTTCTCTGGCTTCAGGGGCCTGGGCTTCTGCTTCCCCCCCCCCCCCCCCCCCCCCCCGGAAATGCCTAATGGCCGCACAGGTTTCTTTCATACACCTCTTCCAGGGGCCAAGAATCCCAGGGCTAATGGAGCTGCCTCTGCCCTCAGAGAGCTGGCAGGGGAGGCCTGAGGGGTGCTCAGGGCACTAACATCACTGCACATCTGCCAGGCGCCAGGTGTGCTGCCCTGTCAGGAACACACCTGGTGGAAGGCCAAGAGATCAAGGCTCCAAGGTGAAGGGGCTCATCCAGGGAGGGGGCAGGGCCTTAATGGGGTCTGGCTGGCTCTGAGCCCCATAAACATCGCCTCTCTTCTGCCGCCCCTGCCCCTACGTTCAGTCGGTGGGACCTTGAAATACTTTCACTCATGATTTGGATTTCCAAATTCCGTGCTGGTTTAGTTGAAAGAGGCCTGGTTCTAGCCCACCCTAGAAGTGTGCCTGGGCAGATCATGTCACCTCCTTGGATATCATCAAGGTCTCGTGGCATGAGGGTAAATGTCCTAGCAAATGACAGGTGCTCAGTTGAGGGAAAGTGTCCCACACCTGAACCCGTGGACATGGATAACTGAAAAGAGGCTGTGCCTTTGGCGGTGTTTTGTTTTTTTTTGTCTTGCTCTGAAAGCACCAGAGCCATGATACTGGGAGAGGGGGAGAGGCGGGCTTTGTTTTGTTTTTAATCCAGTATCACGGTGTGATTTCTCCATGTGGAGCATTTCACCAAAGTGACTGCAATCTCACCTTCCTCTGCTCTCTGCACTGTCCATGCAGGCCATCCGGGTGTTCTTCATGCTCCGTTCGCTGTCACTGCAACTGCGAGGGGAGCCGGAGACCCAGTTGCCACTGACTCGGGAGGAAGATCTGATTAAAACCGATGACGTCCTAGATCTCAGTGAGTTGGTCTCTGAGTCACAGCAGGGGGGGCACTGTGGTGCTGACTCACACGTCACTGCAAGGGTCGGTGCGTGACCTGCATGTGTACTGGGGTTGATCTGTGACCTTGAGGTAATGGAGTGTGCATGTCCCATAAAACTTTTGAAGAAGGGGACCCAGATTCTAGCCACTTTGATTCTGGGCTTGTGGGTTCTGCTCTCTGGAGGTTAGGCGGAGCTGTGCAGGTGGTTTGCCAAAGAACTGTGCCAGGGCTTTGGGATCTCTGTCCTCCATGCAATCATAGCAGCATCAATTTGATTGGTTTTGTCTATTAAGGGTTTTCTGTATGAATCCAACAATTAAAGGGTTCTGCTGCTTTAAGAAAGAAAAAAAAAGGCTTTCAAAAATGCAAATCACACCCTGATCAGGTCTCAGTTGATTGTAGCATCATCCCATACACCAAAAGGTTACGGTTCAATTTCTGGTCAAGGCGTATACCTGGTTTGCAGGTTCAATCCCCAGTTGGGGCATGCATGGGGGAGGCAACATATAAATCTTTCTTTCTCTCTCTCCTACCTCCCTCCCCCAAACATATTCTTGGGTGAAGATTAAAAAACAAAAGGAAGAAAATCACCAGTATTTAGACATGATAAAAGCTTTGGAGGCCAGAGAACTGTGCTCAACCTGGATCCTTGGGTTATTTATTTAATACATTGCAGCATGAGGGTGAGATTTAAAGGAGACAAAAGGTATAAAGCCTGGTTATTTTACCATAACCCTCCTCGTGTGTCTTGTGTCTATGTAGCTCTCTCTTTCCTCGATTTACTAGGGGGCAGACAAGATGGTTTTCTGATTCTTAAAGGCATTGTAGTATATTCGGACTCTAGTAATAATGGACAGAAAACCCAACTTGACCAAATGTGCCTAGTATATAACTATTCTCAGGAAATTGTTTTCAGTATCACTCATGAATTAAATGAGGTGAAGCATATGAAGAGCAGAGTAAGTGATTATTGTGAGTTTACCTGGCTGTCTAGCTTCTTTTTCTGTATCTTTGTTTATGTTCTTTTCTCCTTTTTCTTGGAAGAACAAAGAAGCTATGTTCTCTCTGTGCTCTGTGCCCATCTCTTTTGGCTTTTCACTTTTGAGAAATGGCCATAGTGGATTCTGTAAGCATTTAAATTGATGGAGTTTTCTAGAGAACTACAAACCAGTCTTTTTTCTGATTTGATCCAAAGAAAGAAAGGGAAACAGCTTGTTTTAAAGGGCTACTGTATTCTGTTTGAAAATGGAATTAAATTTTATGCTGGGAACTCACATTTCCTCCCTCTCCCGCCAAGAATAGCCTGCTGAAATAAAGGTTAAAAGTATTTCACTTATCAATTTTAATTGATTAGATTGCTAGTTGAGATCACTTAACTGAGCCTTTTGGGGTGATTGGCCATTAAGAAAGTAATGGCTTTCTATCTTTAACCAGTCTAGTTGCAAATTACGTCTTTTTTAAAGAGGATGCTACCCAGAAAATATTAGGAATTACGGATTTTGCAAGTACCTGGCACAGAATAAGATCTACATGTGTTGTTGACTTGTGTTTGGGGGTGTGTGTGTGATTATTTTTAAATGCTGGAGCCTCTCACTTTCCACTGGGGAAAAATTAGCAAGCTTTGCATTTCACAAAATGTCCTCTGTGTATACAAAATGAAGGAAGCATCATAACGTAGGTGAAAGCATTTGTATTTACTAAATGATTGGAAGCTGGGTACACTTCTTCTGAGCTTAGTGTTTTGTTTCCCTAACAACAACAACAACAACAACAAAAAGGAAGCTGACTCAGGGAGAAATGTTTGGGGTTGGTCAGCTTTTGTCTAAGGTGATTTGGCCTGACACACTTAAAGAAATGCTCACTCTGCACTGCAGGAAGAGGTGACAGAAGAGTGTACTTACTAAGCTTGTCACACTTTGATAAGAAACCAAGTATAAGAGTACTCTGGAGCCATCCACGTGCCTGCTGACCAGCAGCAGGCCTCTAGGCCTAGTACGGCAGGTGAGCTCTGGTGGGGTGACTTCTGACAGGGATCATCAAAGATGCATCAACCTGTTATCAGTCCTCAAGAAACTGCTTAAAACCTGTCTTGTTTTTCACTGTAGAGAGTGGTGGGGGTAGAGGTTGAAAACTGGCCACCAAGGAGGGAGGGATAGAGGAAAGGAGGGGAAAGAAAGGAGAAAGAGAGGGAAGGAAAAAAGAAAGGGGAAAGGGAAGAGAAGATAGACTAGATAAAGTAGATTAGATTTCTTTAGAGAGAACAATATGAATCTCCATAAACCCAGGCTTCAGCTTTAAGTTATTACCTGTTTGCACAATCTCATTATATTTGCCCCACATTTCTCAAATTATAATATGCCCCCAACAGTGTATAAAAGCTAATAATAGATATCATATTATTGCATCATATTATTTCATAAATACTTATAATAGATAGGGACTTTGGTTAATCTTTTCATTGAATTGGTTGCCAACATTGCAAATTGCGAGCTTCTCCAGCCCCTCTGCTCCTCTGGGTGGAGTCAGACCTGGGGCCTGTGCTCTCCTGTGTTCTGCCACCCGGGTACCATTGACATTTGTTTGCAGTTTCTGGTATAGTTGCAAGTAATCAGCTTAGTGACCTTGCTTGGGATCTTCATGCTTGTGAGGCCCAGTGGCCTTGCCTTTAAGATGATTCTAAAGACTTTGCAAAGGTTGTTGAAGATCAAATGAGAACATGCATATAAAGCACATACTGTGCTTGGCACATAGTAGATGCTCAGTTAATGAGAGCTGGCTGTCGTAGCTGCTAAGAATCGAGATGTAACTCATACTGTGGGGCACCAAGGGGTGATGTGCCTTTTCTGCTTTAACAATGTTTTAGGAACATATCCTGAAATATTCAAACCAGTACATCGCTTGTATGATGGCAGTGCTTTCCGGGCAAGAAAGGCATTCTGGCTGCTTGGGCTGAGATGAAGAGAGCTGCACCTCCTGTCTAGGCAAGGCACACTGTACGTTCACCAATAGGCCTGCTGACCAGCAGTCCTGGGAGTGCTCTGAGGACAAGCAGGCTTCAAGGAGATGCCAGCTTCCTGCCTGGCTTGGTATTGGAGCCTTTCAAAAGAGTGTTGGCTTTTCACATAACATGGGAAATCATGGTAGGGGAAGTTCCCCCATAATCCAGACATTCTAGGGAGTTACCAGGCAACCGGCATCCACAGGAACCATCTGGTTTCCTTCCCAGCCTTATCCACGTGGGCACTCACTTTTATTTTTTATTTTTAAAAATATATATTTTATTGATTTTCTACAGAGAGGAAGAGAGAGGGATAGAGAGCTAGAAATATCGATGAGAGAGAAACATCCATCAGCTGCCTACTGCACTCCCCTCACTAGGGATGTGCCCGCAACCAAGGTACATGTCCTTGACCAGAATCAAACCCGGGACTCTTCACTCTGCAGGCTGACACTCTATCCACTGAGCCAAATTGATTTCAGCTGCACTCACTTTTACATAGTTTAGCCTTGCCTTGTGCTGCATGCTCCTGATTGTATTCTGATTTTTTTTTTAATTATTTTTTAAAATATATTTTATTGATTTTTACAGAGAGGAAGGGAGAGAGAGAGAGAGCTAGAAATGTCGATGAGAGAGAAACATCGACCCACCCTCTACCGGGGATGTGCCTGCAACCAACGTACATGCCCCTGACTGGAATCGACCCGGGACCTTTCAGTCCGCAGACTGACGCTCTACCACTGAGCCAAACCGGTTTCGGCTGTATTCTGATTTTTAAAACCCACTTATGAAATCCATTCAGTGAAATTCATCCATTTGTTCAATTACATTGAGTGCCTGCTGTATGCCAGGCACAGTGCTGGGAGCTGGGCTGTGGCAGGGAGCTAAAGCCAGACTTGGTCTCTGCTCTTATGATATTATATTTCTAGTTTGACTGGGGAGAGGGGAGCTAAGAGAAGAGCAGGAGAAAAGGAGCACGACTTTTCAGGTGGTTCTGTGGAAGAAATGAACAGGGTCCTGTGCTAGGGAGTAACTAGGAGGAAAGACCTGATAGGTTGGTTAAGGAGAGGTGCTGTATAGGAGGGACCAGGAGATTTATTTATTTTTTTTTTTGACCAGGAGATTCTATCGGAAAATGCAAGATGAGGCCCACCAGTTAGAGGTGATAGAGAGGTGAGGCTGAAAGGTGGGACAAAGCTTGGTGAGTCCTAAGATCCTAAAGGAGGAAAGGAGCAGGGCAGGGAAGGCCTAAGATGAGCCAGATCTTAATTCCAGTGTAGAGGGAAGCCATTAGCCCTAGATGGTTTGGTTCAGTGGATAGTGTCAGCCCACGGATTGAAGAGTCCCAGCTTCAATTCTGGTCAAGGGCACATGCCCGGGTTGCAGGCTCAATCCCCAGTAAGGGGCGTGCAGGAAGCAGCCAATCAATGATTCTTTCGCATCATTGATGTTTCAACCTCTCTCTCCCTCTCCCTCTTTCTAAAATAATAAAATATATGTATTTTAAATCTCCAGCCCTGGTCAGGGTACATGAGGGAGGCAACCAATCGATGTCTCTCTCTCATACCAATGTTTCTCTCTCTGTCTCTCCCTAAACTCAACAGAAAAAACAAACAAAAATTATAGGGAAGCCATCAGAGGGTTCCTGCAGGGACACTTGTCCTACAAGTGCACTTCTAGTACTGTAACTGCCAGGTCAGGCGGTGCCAACGGGGGCCTGTGAACCATGCCAGGGCTAGAGAGGCCCCAGAGTTTAGGGTTATGAGCATGAACTTGGGAGCCAGACTGTGTCCAGGATGAAATCCCAGCTTTGCCCTTTGCCACTTGCCAATGTGTGACCTTTGACCAGTAATTTAATCTCTTGATGCTTCAGTTTCCTCATCTGTAAGATGGGAGTTGTTGGGAGGAATAAATGAGTTAGTATTTATGAAGTGCCTAGAACACTGCCTGGCACAATTGCAGGGGGGTCATTTCGGAG